GTGGCTGGCGCCTTTAGCCGGTTGAGCCACAGGCGCCGAGCCGCAGGAGTAGAATGGGACCACAGGCGCCCGCCACAATGCCCGGCTATTTTTTGGTTGCAGCCGTCATTGTTGTTTGGCAGGTCCGGGCTGGAGATTCGAACCCGCCACCTTAGGTGTACGTGGCTGGCGCCTTAGCCAGTTGAGCCACAGGCGCTGAGCTGTAAAAGGTGGTCTTTAATGTGCTGGATGCCAACCCGTTATTAATGAAGCTAGTTTCAATAGAAATCTACTGTGATCGGTGAGTGAAATGAGGATTATCCTGTAAAGTCTGCTCAGAGCTGTAGTCTAGAATAATTATTTTTCAGACTAGTACTTGGCTTGAATCAAAACCTCAAGGCATTTTTACTTGTAGTTGTTTTCTCCCCTTGACTTTTCTAGTCTTTAACAAACCCAAAGACTCATTAGGATAATCAGGGCTGAGCCCTCCTAACACCCAAGCCAGACCATTCCTGGAGGTACCACTGCCTGTGCTCTGGAGCTAAAGAGCTCACCTTACTTTCATTGTGATCATTACCCCGGGGGAAGAAGGAGCCGAGAACAACTACAGGAAGAGATTTTCTTTTACCTCTTACAAAGAGCTCAGTGGAACACTTCTCATCTCCCGCTGTCACATAATACTCTGAATCATCTGTCAGCGCACAGTTATTGATAAACATGATTCTTTCACAACCTTTGTGTTCAAAGATGTATCTGTTTTAAATAGGAGGAGGATAAACAGTTGGTGAACTTGATTTTATTCTTTTCTTTATTGCCAGCAAATTTGGCTTCTAACTTGGTCATGTTTGAAAGTCAGGGACATGATTTTGATCTGCCATGCAGGACACATATCTTACGTACTTTAATATCAAACAAAAACCAGTTTTTCATCTTTATAATAATAGTACCTGTGCATATTTATATATAGTATTTCATTTCTGCTATAATTTTCTTTTATGGAAGGTTTTTATTTCAAATATAAATCAGCACTTACGTACTTATTGCTTACATTTTTTTACTGCTGTTGAAAAATAGAGTTGGCCAAGGGTGTCAGAGAGATTTTTAAATCTGTATATTCTTTTTTTTTTTTTTTGAGACAGAGCCTCGAGCTGTCCCCCTGGGTAGAGTGCTATGGCTTCACTGCTCACAGCAACCTCCAACTCCTGGGCTCAAGCAAGTCTCCTGTCTCAGCCTCCCAAGTAGCTGGGACTACAGGTGCCTGCCACAATGCCCGGCTATTTTTTGGTTGCAGCCATTATTGTTGTTTGGCGGGCCTGGGCTGGATTTGAACCCGCCACCTTAGGTGTAAGTGGCTGGCACCTTAGCCATTTGAGCCACAGGCGCCGAGCCAAATCTGTATATTCTTTAAATGACCAATTCATGTACTTTATAGGTGGTGAGAAATTTATTCACTGATCTTTATTTTATTTATTGCCTAGCCCAGTGATACAGGAGATTTGAGGGGCTGAATAAATGATTATTAAATAATAAATTTAAGCAGAGATATGACCTTCCTTAATCACCAATGCAGTAATTCTATAGAATGTGATGTTCTCTTAACTGAGTTTAAGAACTGGTGCTATCACATCACACTTACCATCTACTAAGAACAAAATGAATATTTGGAAATAGAAAACTAAAAACCGAGTTCAGGAAATTTAATTATCCGTGACCTAGATTAGGGAGGAGCATACGGGTTATAATAGACTAGGAAAAAAATCTGTTTTGGGAATTTTCAAATCGAGGATTTCATGAACAAAATACTAAACAACATTTTCTAAGGAAAAACAATTAAAATTATGCTCTTGGTAAATTCAGGCCATCTTCAAGGAATTTTTACATTGGGTATAAACATAATCACACAGTCACTCTTTTGGCATCACCATAGTCAGAAATTGGAAACCACCTAATTGTACTCCAGAAGTGATGGCTTTCCAGGATTAAAGTCTTTTATAAATGTACACGTGGCCCCTGTTAACTTAAAAAATATATTGGAGTTGAAAATCTCTCAGGCTGAGAAGGATCTCTGTAAAGTGGTTTCATAACAGACCAGAGATAATACCAGACATCGGGGATTAGTCTGTCTTTAGCCTGTCTCCTTTATTTGAGAGAGGGCCAAGCAATAATAAAACGCAGGCTTAGATCTGTGTTTCATCAGACGTCAGCATTAAATAGTTCTATTCAGATGCAATATGACGAGTAAGTGCTCAAAATCATACCTGAATTGAATATAAAAGTATTCAGCCATTATCGAATATAGATGCTATTTTGGGAAAACAAAAGTCATCTAATTATAAGGTGTGATTCCCAGGTGGCATATCACATGTGCCTTTCAAATTATTTAAAAATTTTATTTTAAAAAATTAGGAGAAGTTTAGCAATACTCTGCAAAAATTACACATAACCTGTAGCTACATAAAACTATAATTGGGAATCACTTGAAATAGTTTGTATAGAAACATAAAACAAGGTTTAGTTTATATAGCACTATAATTTTAATTTAAAAATACATAAAAAGTGACTTAAATTTTACTCTGTCTCCATATTTAGAATTATAAATCTTTCACTAAAAATCCTTTTATTCTTGGAAAATTAAGTCAAACTGTTGTTTATTTACTGTGTCGTTATTACCAATTATTGCAAAGTCCACTTACTTTGTACTGGGTCGAATTTCTTGCCCATTTTTATACCATTTCACCTCCAGCTTCGGATCTGCCAGTTCCACAACAAACCTCACTCTGCCTCCTTTATCAACCTGATACGCAGGATCAAGAATTTTTGCAAAAGCTGGCAGGATAGAAGAAGCACAATATATTCATATGAGCAAATACGCACTGTGACTTTAAATAGTCAAAGTATGTCTGAGAACCAAAAAACAAATGCAAACAGGAACCTCACAGAAGAAAAGCCTTTCAAATTATCCTTTATAGTGAGAATTCCGTGTTAATTTATATACAATAAGATGGTTTAAAAATGGAAAGAAAAACTTTCAAATTGAAATGTCCTTGGACGAAACATAAGAAATGAATAGTTGAAGAAGTTTTCAAAATTACCTGATTCCTCAGGGAACCTACACACACATACCATCCAAATGAAATTAAACTTTGGGAATATGTTTATTTTCCTAGCATGATTACTAGGAGGATGATTGATATTATTTCTGTAATTCTGTACCACAGATAGTTTTTTTTTAAATCACAGAATTTATAAGACAAATGTAGTGATTCATAGGATCAAATTAAATTAAATGACTAATTGAAATAGTGAGCTTAGCAAAGTTTTTGTACTATAGAAACCTGCCCAAATAGTGGCATTTAAAAAACACCCTCTGTGTATACAGCTAGAAACTCTGGATTTCCAAACATTTTAAATAACATAGAACACAGTAATTTTTTTAAAAAATATCGTCATTGAAAGGTCCTAAACAGAGGTAGTTAACTTCTTTCTTAATTTAATATTCTGTCTTTTTTTTTTCTTTTTTTGAGACAGAGTCTTCCTCTGTTGCCCAGGATAGGGTGTTGTGGCATTAACCTAGCTCACAGCAACCTCAAACTCTTGGGTTCAAGTGATCCTCCTGCCTTAGCCTCCTAAATAGATGGGACTACAGGCACCTGCCACAACACCCTGGCTAAGTTTTCTGTATTTTTGGTAGAGATAGAGTCTTACTTTTGCTCTGACTGGTCTCAAGCTCCTGAGCTCAAGTGCTCTTTCTGCCTTGATCATCTGTAGTGCTAGGATTATAGGTGTGAGCCACCCTGCCTGGCCTTTCCACCCCCTCCTCTGATTTTAAAGATAAGAATTCTCATTTAGATGGTTTGGAAAATACATGGTAGGTGAAACGCTTCATGTTGTCATGTTCTCATTTCCATTATTTCAACCTTATCATACTATTGCTTAAACAAGCTCATGTTCTCATATTTTAACAAGATAAAATAAGCACTAACTTAAAAGTTACCTATCACACACCTTAAAACAAGAATTCACAACTAAGTGGTAAGAAAGGCCAGCACAGGGAAAGTGACGTCAGCTGGCGCCCTGGTTTGTGACTATTCACCTCCAGATACCTCTCAAAAAATACAACTTCAGGAGTTCTGGGGTGGTGGAAATGTCTGAGTTATGTAAACAAAACACAATCCTACATTTCTCTGGGGGCCACTTCTTAGTCAATTTACAGGGAAGTTTAGAAATACAGGGCATATTTTTAAAAAGGAGGTTGTGAGGGTCTTTCTATTTGAGCATTAACAAAACAAAAAATAAGAGCATGGATAAATTACCCTGACGTGCCATAAACCCATAACTGACAATGACCCCGTGTAGGAAAGTTTGAAGAGCTAAAGATCAATTTAAAATATATTTCTTTCTCTTTCTTCTTTCCACTTTAAAAAAAAGAATTTAAACAGCAGAAAGCGGATCCACTTCAGATCTCCATACGAAACATTTTGATAACAGTATTGGGCGTGAAAAAGCGTATTCCCAAGCCGCATCAAACGGGCGGAAGGGAATGTATTCTACCTAAGTAAAAATCGAGAATTTGAGAATGAGGGAGATAGAAATTCCCAGTGGCAGCGGGGATATTTACTAGTCCTTCCTACTTTGCACATGCGCTATAAATCTCTTGTACCTTAAACGTTTAGACGGGGTCCGCTTCCCGCGTAAGCAGCGATGTGCGGGGCAGTGAAACTACCAGGAGCCAAAAGGTAACCAAGAGAAGCGTAAGCCTCGCGCTCCTATCCAGCGCCGCGCCCGACCGCGCGGGAGACCGAAGCCGCCCAGGGCCGCGTTCAAGGTCAAGCGTCTCCAGCGCGCGGCGGCCGCCGCCACGCCCCCCACCCCCGCGCGCTCACCTGCGCTCTTCTTCTCCACTCTGCGCATGCGCTTGAGCCGCTTGAGCATCCCGCGCAGGTCGGTGATCCCATACTGGAAGGCGATCTTCTCGTACTCGCTGGGTTTGGCGCTCTTCAGCAGCTCCCACACGTCTATCTCGGGTTCTTCCTCCTGCTGCTTCACCTCCCTAACCGAGGAGAACCATTGCCTAGTTTAGTGGCTGCACTGGCCCTTGAGAGATAAGGATGGTCGGGGTATGACTCTAGTTTTTAGTTGCGGTGTGAACAGCTCAGTTGAAAGCCCGAGGACTTAAAACCCCAGAAGTCAGTCTTCTTACCTTGCTTACAGTCTTAGAGAACCTTCCAGATAGTGAGAGATCAAATACATGCACATATAGTAACATTTTTCATTTTCCTAATTCAAAACACAATTTTAGGGGATCAAAGGATATCAAGGAATATTCTGAAAATATTTTCACTTACTTTTAATTATGAAGTCTGATTAGAAGATGGGATTGGGGGGAACTTAAGGAATAGGTTTCATCTAGGATGTGGATATTCAATTTATTTTGAAAAACAGATTAAGAACTAAAAGATTTAAATACTGGCCAAGGAAAGAAAAATGATCTCTTTCTCTCTTCGTTGATGTTCACACCCTCGATAAATATGGAGATAATACAAATATATTTATTTCAAACGTCTCAATTTTGCAAATAGCGTTTTTGCTACTATATTCATAAATATGTGCATTAACCATTTTTTGCCTTTTTAAACAAATACAAAAACATTTGAAACTGCCATAAAGGTTTTTTGTTTTTCATATGCCTTTTTTGGATATTGATGCTTTGCAAAAATAGTTTTTTTCCTAAATTGGCAGAGGATAAAGAGGATTCTCTCATATTTCATCTGAAAGTACTTTTGAATGTTTTTTGGGTGCAGATTATAAAAACACAAATGTTAAGAGAAAGCAAATGGTTTAGGATAAACAAGGACAAAGTATCTTCTTAGGGTAATTAATAAAATTATTACCACTACTTTTGATCACTGACTGAAGAATGTATAGACCGTATAAAGAACATACATATCTAACTAAAAAAAACAACACAAATCTATTTAAAGTACACTTGTTTTATCTTGTTTTAAAAACAGAAAGTGAAACCAAGCACAGGACTACACACTCTTCAGGAAAAGAGGCTTAGTGTGAATGAACTGGTTTACTTCACTGGCTAGTAACTAGTTCTGATTTTAAGTTTATGTGACTATTTTTTACCGAGTTAATTTGGAAATGTTGCCGTGACTACTTGTGAGTAATGCTGGTTTGGATCTGATTTTCTGGAAAACTGGGCAATGTATCTTATATTAGGGGGTCACAGGTTACATATGTTTGTATTGTTACATCAATTACACTCACTTCAGAGTTTCTTCTTTATATCTATATATACTTTGAAAGGGAAATGCTGGGTTATAATAATGGGTAAAGTAGTAACATATTGGGTAAGGAAGAGAATATAAATATTAACATAGCTTTTAGGGTGTCATTAGGCAAGGGTGACTTCTATTATAAATATCTAATTTCCGTTTTACATTTCCATGTAAATCTTTTTGCCTGATGGCATAGGGGGACACTGAAGCAAACCCAGAAAATGGAAGGAAGTGAGAGGTCATAGGTTACCAGTATTCCTGACGGGAAGGACTAGACAGCACCATTAGAAAAATGAGCCTCTTAAAAACTCCAAGATGCAAGCATGATCTTCATCTCACTGAAACGATAGCTACACACTTTACAAACCAGGGGAGATTGACAGGCTTAAGGAACTTATCCTGAAATTGGAGTATTGGTAATAATTTGTCAGATCCACTCAATCTACTGCCTGAAAACAGTCTACACTTCCAATACATTCTTTGGATGTTTTAGTAGTAAGTCTAAGAGAATTACAATTAAGATGAATATGTATATATCACATACCTATGCATATTTTCTCTGAGGGGTATTTTCTCAACCTATTTTATTAATGCTGTATTTTGTCATATTCCAGCCTAAATATAGTTTCTGAACTTGAAATGATGCCTTACTAGATCATGTTAAATTTATATTTTAACTAAGAAGAATTATACGTATGCATATTTTAGGCATCGTCCGGACATTGGTGGAAGGATTTAAAGATATCAAGCTAGATATAATTAAAATAGCTCATTTTTATTTATTATTATTATTTTCTTTATTAAATCATAACTTTGTGCATTGATGTATTCAAATAGCTCTTATAACAAGAGGCACAAATCAACACTGAGTCATATTTACATTGATGAAATGAATATTTATAGGAAGGAGTAAAGAGCGTCATTTTAGTGTGATTTCTTGAGCCAGTTTTATTGGTAGATTCCTAAGATCGATTATCTTCACTATTTTTTCATTAAAACACCAAGATATATTGCATTCTACCACATCCCTGTCTTATGAAATTTCGTATAAGAGTACCAGTGACCTCTCTCCTATTCCTTCCTTTACTTTCCATCACTTAATAGCATCCCAAGTTGCACAGAGAAGCATTTCTCTTGTACTAGAATGTGAAGCCAGGCTCTCACCTGTATTATGTCTGTAACTCACCTGGATGGAGCATAGCTTTACTTACCATGGGGGCTGCACATAACCCTGTCTGCATGGCTATGTTAAATTACAGTGAAGAGACAAACCCAAATTTCTAAAGGCATCTCTGATTCCTTTCCAAGCCATGGGATAGGCCTGTATAAGGTCCACGGTGCTTTAATCTACATCAACATTTCTATAACTTAATGATCTTAGCGAAGAGTATAGCAGTTATAGAAATTTTATGTAGAATAAAACTTTCAAGTGTTCATACAAGTCAAATCCCATAACAGGATGCTGCCCAGAAGATTTGCTGTGATTTAGCTCGTGTCTGTTTGACGCAAGCTGGCTTTGTTTGGGTGCGGGCAGATCTTCTGTTGTACAGAGATGTTGGTGGTTTTGTTATTTACTGTGATAGGGGTATTGAGACACACTCTCAGAGGACTAGGAATGGTAACCATGTGTCATTACCACAATGAAAACACATGCAATGCACAAATTAGTAGGAAAACACAATGATTTCTAACGTTATGCTAGTGGATTAGTATAAATGAACATAGTCATAACGTTAACAACAATCTAATGCTGAGTAAAACATCATAATTAGGGGATATAAAGAAAATGAGAACTCGAGACATACTGACTTCCTTTTTTTTTTGAGACAGAGTCTTAGGTGATTCTCTTGCCTCAGCCTCCTGAGGAGCTGGGACTACAGGTGCCCACCACAACGCCCGGCTATTTTTTTGTTGCAGTTTGGCTGGGGCTGGGTTCAAACCTGCCACCCTTGGTATATGGGGCCATCGCCCTACTCACTGAGTCACAGGTGCTGCCCCCTGACTTCCAATTTTTTAAATGATTTTTTCTTTAGTTATTTCAATCATATATTAGATTTCTTTTATTCTAGAATTCATGCTGTAGATGGTAGAATCCAGCTGTTCTTTTTTCTTTTTAATTGAAACGTGGTGTTTAATCCACTGTACCACATTTTAATTGGTTGTATGTGTTTTGTCTGGTTCTGAATATAAGCTCTGAGAGAAAAATGTCACATTTCCTTAGTGGAAGTGAAATATTTATTGGCCATCTACTGTGAGCGAGGCCCTTTACCCTTAATTTGATTCTCACAATAATTCTATTAAGTCATTTTTATTCTTCACATTTACAGATGTGGAAATCAAGTCCCAGTGGGGTCTTTTTAGTAAATCACCATTTAGTAAATAGTAGAGTTGAGACTCAAATCCATGTTTTTACCACGCCCCTTTCCCTCTCACAAATATATCCACGAATTCATCTCTTCCTGTGTGCCAGGCACTGGGTTTCTCTTCCTTCTATCGCCCAGCATTATATTCTGCACAAAAAAGCATTTGATGTTTTTCTGGGTGAGTAAATGATCACAGGGAGAATAAAAACCTCTTTTGTCTCCCTAAAGTGCTTCATTTTGTGTTAATAAACGGATGCACCAGCTTCCAGGGCAGATTCAAGGTGGTATTTATTACAGAATAAGAGCTAACTCAGGAAAAGGAAACTTTTTATTTTGGGTCCCTGCCCTGCCTCTAACTCCTGTGTGATGGGAGGTCAATCCCTTGATGTCTCTGGACCTCAGATTCCCACCTGTAGAATGAGCAAGAGGGAAGCTCCCTGAAGGCACTTCATGTACCATTGCCTTCAATGCATTTCTAGAATTAATAGTATTGAGACTAAGGATTATTTTAAATATCTAGAGGAAGAAAGATGTATTTGACATTGCTACATTCTATTGATTGGCCCATCAGTAATTAATAAATCATACCTATTAATATTTCTGTTCTCAACCTAAATGTTGAGGATTAGAAGTAAATTTTTCTTTTCTTTTCTTTTCTTTTTTTTTTTGAGACAGAGTCACCCTCAGTAGAGTGCTGTGGTGTCACAGCTCACAGCAACCTCCAATTCTTGGGCTTTAAGTGATTCTCTTGCCTCAGCCTCCCAAGTAGCTGAGACTACAGGCACCTGCCACAATGCCTGGCTATTCTTTGGTTGCAGCTGTCATTGTTGTTTAGTAGGCCCAGGCCAGGCTCGAACTTGCCAGCCTCGGTGTATACACCATACCACCCACTGAGCTATGGATGCCGAGCCAAGAGGTAAATTTTTCATTCAGAGGGGCTTGAGGAAAGGCATTCAACTAACCTTAGAATGCCTTAACTAACCTTGTTAAGCCTAGTTTAACAAGTGCTTGTAACTGATGAAAGCGTATTTGTTCTCAAGTTTCTTTAATAAGCATAGAAAGCACTAAAAGTAATTTAAAAACCTGAAAAGCTAAATGAAACTTACATGTTATTAATTTAGAATTGTAGTTTTACTGTTAATTCACAAATTGGCTAGATAAAACCCTTAACCACAGCAGAAATCTTTTTTGTTGCTTCTTCACTATAGTAAATATCTAGGTATGTATAACTTTATATATAAAATATTACATTGGCATATAAAATGCATATATGTGGACAGAAATCCTATAAAATTATTATGTGTTAAATATCCATAATGAAATTTTATAGGTTTTATATCAGGAGAGAACAATATCAAGGGAGTGTGAGTGAGGGATAATACTAATTATTTTTTTCCATTTTATCACTTCTAAATCCTTTTAGAAGTGATAAAAGTGGTAACACATTTGGGGGGAATTTGAAACATTTCTGAAATAAGAATGCATCTTATCAATAGTGTGTCATAATCCATTTACTATAGTAAATAGGTATGTATAACTATATATAAAATATTACATTGGCATATAAAATGCATATATGTGGACAGAAATCCTATAAAATTATTATGTGCTAAATATCCATAATGAAATTTTATAGGTTTTATATCAGTTTCATGTAAAGAGTTTTTCCCTTGATGATTTATAAAATACTGGTATAGTCTGAAATCAGTGGTGTTTTAGACTAGTAGCAATATAATATATCACAAATAATATAATAATAAAGTAAGCCTGCCTCTTCAAAAATACATATTTATCTGCAGACTTTTACCAAAATCATGAAATCAATGTGTTTGTTAGATCATCAAATAAAGCAGGAGAATGGAGGCTTTATTTATTCGGTCATGAGAAGGAATCCTGGGTACTGTCTTAGAAGTTTCTCATCTAGGTCTTTAAGCTTTATGTCTCAGTTTTCACATCTCCCCATCCCCAACTAGGAAAATATGCAAAGACTCAGGAACTATTTGAAAAGCATCAGCTGAAGTCATGGACAGATTAGTATGCGGGTTTTTTCTTTTTCTTAGTTGATTCTGTTATAGTCTATAAGCAAAACACGCTGTAAGAGACAAACAACTCTTTGGAAAACATCCACTTTAAACTTGACTTCTCCGAGTGAGTGTCTAAAAGATTTTCAGGCCACATTGCCTCACTCCATCGCTTGGTTCTCACCTACGTTTCAGGAGACCACTAAAGTCAAGTTCCCCTGCATCCTCTTGACCTTCTCCACTGTCATTAACAAAAGAGAAGCAAATCTGTGTTTAATGCCAAGACATACCCAACCGTTTCCCCCAGACACTCGACATATAACATATATGCAATTGTGTACCAGCACGCGAAGACCAAATCAACACAAACTATTACTTTTCACACAAGAGACGTTTTATATTTTTGGAGTCTGTCCTTGTGGAAAAGAAAAACGTGAGGAGCTTGTGTTACTCTACGATTTCAGAAGACCTATTTTTGAAGATTGCATATATACAACTGCTTGGATTTGTGTTAAAACCAGATAACACAAATGCACTTAAGCCAAGCAACGCAAAGTACTTTGTTTTTGTAAGTTGGGGGCTCTGGAGACTTACCTGGGTAAAAAGCAAAGGACCTTTGCTAATCTCTGTTACTTGTGAAAGACAGAGATTGGCTTGGAGGATAAAGTTTGCCAACGTCGGATATATAAGTACAGAGCCTTTATATTCAAAGGTGACCTCTTTGTGTTCACGAATAGATGAATCAGATAATGTGATACCAACATAGCCTAAAAATGGAGCTGACACAGAGCTTTTTAGAAGATGCATTCCTTTCTGCTTTAAAGGGAGATAATTCTAATCTTAATTTTTGTGATGAACATTCATACCTTTTAAGACCTGTTTTTCAAGAACTTCTCTTCGAATGGTGCGTGAACCCTTTACGAGTAGTTTGAGAAAGTGGCTTCGTTTGGAGAAATGCATCTTAAATTAGGCATGTGACCACCGCTGTGATTTTATAGAAACTCTAGAAGCTCTAGAGCTGACCTTTCAAAGGGCACCACACACTTACTTACATGTTTAACTTTTTAAATGAAGATTTTGTTTCCTGCTCTTTACAAATGTTAGTTACGGTTTCTAAGAAAAGAGCCTGCGGGTTTAAAAACTGTGTGTATAACATGTAAGTCATAAGAAATAAGTAGTGGGGTTTCAAAATTTCTTTAATAGCAGGTGTTTGGAGGCCTTTTGAAGTAAATTTTTTTTTTTTTTTTTAGAGATAGAGTCTCATTTTTTCGCCCTCGGTAGAGTGCTGTGGCGTCACAGCTCACAGCAACCTCCAGCTCTTGCCTCAGCCTCCAGAGTAGCTGGGATGACGTGTGCCCGCCACAATGCCCAGCTATTTTTTGGTTGCACTTTGGCTGGGGCTGGGTTAGAACCTGTCACCCTTGGTATATGGGGCTGGCGCCCTACTCACTGAGCCACAGGCGCCGCCCAACATTTCTATTCTTTTTTTTTTTTGAGACGGAGCCTCAAGCTGTCCCCCTGGGTAGAGTGCCATGGCTTTACAGCTCAGAGCAACCTCCAACTCCTGGGCTCAAGCGAGTCTCCTGCCTCTGCCTCCCAAGTAGCTGGGACTACAGGCGCCCGCCACAACGCCTGGCCATTTTTTGGTTGCAGCCATCATTGTTCTTTGGCGGGCCCAGGCTGGGGATTCGAACCCACCACCTTAGGTGTATGTGGCTGGCGCCCTAGCCACTTGAGCCACAGGCGCCGAGCCCATTTCTATTCTTTTAAAGCACAGAATTTATTAGATTTTGTCTCCCTCTCCTAAAATGTACATGCTACAAGCATCTAGACCTGTGCATTTGTTGAAAAGTGATAGATTTGAAAATGATGACTATCTTTAAATTTAAAAATACCAGAAAATACAAGAATACTAGTAATATTAAATAACTTTTCAAAGAAATTACAATTTTATTTATTTTTTAATTTAGGAGGGAAATATGCCCTTTCATAGCAGACTAAATCCTTGTTTTATAATAGTTTGGGATGACCTTCCATATTTAACAAAGTGGTTATGGATTCAGGCTTAAGAAGAACAAAACATTTGCTCTCATTAAAGAATTTATATTATGGAATAATTAAGTACAAAAAGTAACATAATGGCAGGAGATTAGCTGTGTTTTTCTGCAACAAGAAAACATTTTAATATTCCTACCTTGACCCCCTGATTATTTTCAGCCTTGGCAGTTGCAAAAACAAATAGGTCTCTAAATTTTGTCTTTCTATAGTATTCTTTGTTTTTCCTATGGTATTCTTTTAGATGGGGTCTTGCTCTTGCTCAGGCTGGTCTTGAACTCGTGGACTCAAGCGATTTGCCCACCTCAGCCTCCCAAAGTGCTCGGATTACAGGCATGAGCCATCGCACCTGGCCTTTCCACAGTATTCTTAATGCCAGCAGACTCAGTAGTCTTTCATTTAGGATAATGCAACATTATATGGCACTAAGGTCAGTAAGTAGCTACTTAATTGTGGTTTTCTTGGACACATATTTTAGTAGCTCCATAAGGGATTTTTAGATGAAAAGCATTATAAATAATTTTTTTCTGACATTACATAACTGATGCTATATGAAATATTTCTTATTATATATCTCTTCAGGCCACTTGGTAGAAAATAATACAATTAATCTTTCTAAGGCAACTGTGAAACCTGTATAAATGGGAGATTCCATATAAAAAGAATATTCTAGAAAGTGATCTATGGATTTTCTAGAATGCCAACGTTTAAATATATGGTGTGTTCGACTACTGTGAAAAGGATTATTCTCATTTGGAATATGGAGTGTGGAGGAAGGGAAGTGTGCTTTGAAAATCCCCCACTTCCATGTTACATAAAGCCTGTCCAGATTAGCTTTTGAAATTACCTTCTCTTGAAAGCAGATCTGATGTCAATGCTTGGAGTAGTCCCAGTGGATTCTTTGAAAGGAAGGAAAACAGTAAAATAAATGACCAGCAAGAAGACAGTTGTGTTCACTTCCATTATGGGCTGTGGGATTCCTCAAATGGAAAGAACGCCAGGTGAAGGGGGGACGGCTGTCCGCGAAGGCTGAGCTGCCAAGAGTCATTGTACCTCCCTCATGAAGAAGCAGTGAAGGGTTTATCTTGTCCAGTTGTCATTCGACCTGCCTAGGCATTAGAATCATCTGAGGAACTTTAATAAAAACATATCAGCTTCTTGATCCTCCCTGCTGGAGATTTTAATCCACCAGATCAGAGACACCCAGAAATCAATATTCTTAAAAAGCCCTCCAGGTGATTCTCAGAGACACCCAGCCAAGCTGAAGCAGTGCTGCTCAGGGGCAGAGTCCTGCTTATTCCAGAAATCTCAGCAGGGCCCACCCACGACCCCAGCCTCTACTCAACTTCTCTCTGAGTGTGAATCTCACTGCCTCTCCAGGCTGTCTGTGTAGCTTTAATGAAATAGCCCCTTGTCGTGTTAAGACACAATTCACCTCCTCTTAATTTCTATCTTTTGATTCTAATCTGCCTAGTGCTTCTCAGGTTCATGGGAAAGGCCCTTCCCCTCGTTCTATGTAATAGCCCTTCTTTCCTCTCTATGCCTGGCTTCCTTCACCCACACACTCTCGCTGGATAGGGTGTGGTTTCTGGATTCTTTGCTCTTTTGGTTACCCGGCTTCAAAAGCCAGCCAGGTTGAGGTCTAATGCCTGTAGCCAAAGACAGCACTCTAGATGTGGACCACATAGAGTGTTGAGTAGAGAGGTATCACTATCATTTCCTGAACTTAGATTCTATACGATGTGGAATAGCACAATTTAAACTCACACCAGCTTCGTCTGTCTTTGGCAGCTACACCACACGTTGGATTCATCTTAAGTTCATGATCTTCGCTGCCACGTCAACTTTCCCTTTGTAGACTTATAAAAGTGCCCCCCTACTTGAATGTACAGCTTTATCTTTATCCCTATGAGGTTCACCGTGAGCAGTACACAGAACAGATGGATAGAGAATTCCATATCTGACACAAGTCCTTATAAGAGAAATTCTTCCTTCCCCCGGGGTGTCCTGACATCTGCATACGCTATTACCTTTTGCCTAAACCTTAGTAGGAAAGCGGACCCAGTGAAACGGATACATTCTGTAGCAGCAAAAAAATGACAGCATGTCTTATCTGGGAGATTGAAAGAATACAGTTAACACGGATAAGAGATACTTAGTAATAAAATCCCCCCAACTCTACTTTTAAATTCTCCCATAACAATCGAATTCAACAGGCTTGCTCAGACTACCACAAGCAGAAATACACAGTTTTATAGGAATCTCCACCCTCCCATCTCATATTCTTAAATGACTTTCTTCTCTGTGGCATCACACCCACACAAAAAAGGGTCACATTTATCCAGGCAGGAAGGCACTCTTACCCCGCACTTCAAGATCGAAAGAGCAGCTGTCAAACTTATCCTTGTAGGTGACCTCGCATCTGTAGTTCCCTGCAAAGTTCTCTTTGGCCTTGATAATCTGCATCTCAAACGTGTACACCTGCAATGAAACGCAGCCAGACACCCTGCAGCCCACGTCGCCGGGCGCAAGGCGCCATCACATTTCACTCATTTTCCAGAGTCCTGAGCATTTGTTTAAAGACGTGTCTGGATCTAGAAAGTCCAGTACAACACGCTCAACATGGGAGGGCAAAGGTATCCTGCAGCCCCCGGGCATAGAAAGCAATCAAAAATAGAGTGCAGTCGCTAGGAATGGTAATTGCAGAGAATGTTCTGGAATTGAGACCTGTCAAAGCTAAACCTCAGTGACCATTCACCCATACTCGGAGCCCTGTGCCAGGAGTTTGGGGGCCTTACCCGAGAATGCCTTTCAAAGGTTTCCTTCAGCTGGAGGTGCTTCCCTGCTTTGCTGGCCAGATCCATCCATTTCCCTTTAAACCACTTGATAGTCGGTTTCCTCAGAAGATCTTCAGCCTTGACTTTGGCTATAAAGGTGATATCTTCACCTAGAAAAAGCACAGGTGATTCAGCCTGTGGTTTAAAAATGATCATTTGTTTTGCTTTCAACTAGGAGGAATTGACGCAGGAGTGCAGGACTCTGATGTGACTGACACCTCCAGAATTGTGCAACAAGTCGGTCCTTGATGATTTACGAGTACCCTAGAAGGTTATTTCAACTTCTGTTGCCTTTCAAGTTGATGGACTACAGGCATGTGCCACCACCACACCCAGATAATTTTTTTCTATTTTAGTAGAGACAAGGTCTCACTAAAAGTCTCAGTTCAGACTGGTCTTGAACTCCTGAGTTCAAGGGGATCCTCACACCTTGGCCTCCCAGAGTGCTAGAATTACAGGCGTGAGCCACCACACTTGGTGGGGTGCCAACATTTCTGTTCACACACAGTATTTTTTTCTTTTGAGACAGAGCCTCAAGCTGTCCCCCCCGGTAGAGTACTATGGCATCACAACTCACAGCAACCTCCAACTCCTGGGCTCAAGCAAGTCTCCTGCCTCTGCCTCCCAAGTAGCTGGGACCACAGGCACCCGCCACAACGCCTGGCTGTTTTTTGGTTGCAGCCATCATTGTTATTTGGTGGGCCTGGGCTGGATTCGAACCTGCCACCTTAGGTGTATGTGGCTGGCGCCTTAGCCACTTGAGCCACAGGCGCTGAGCCCACAGTATGTTTTTAGACTTGAAGGAAATAAATCTGGAATGCAGTTAGCTATGTGCTCATTTGTGTAATATTGGTAAGAGTCAAAAACTAATTCTCCTAATAATAAATTCCTTATAAAGATGTAGTTACAATTATCGAGTCCCCCTGGTCCTTCTGCAGTTCACTGAAGTACTATTTAATTCCTTCATGCTGCTTGGCTTTTGCGACTGTTTAATTTCTTCTTCTCTGCTCCTATCTGATTGCAAATTCTGAGTGCTCACATGCTATACTCAGTGCTCAGCACAAAGCCGAAAACAGGAGGTGTGAAATCGCTATCTTTAATGACTGTTTCAAGAGTTGAACCATCTGTCTGACTAGCTGCCTCTGAGCATGTGCAGATGTGGAAGGCGCTCATGGAATGAGTGTATCATAATAACACAAACACCAGCTCGGAGCTTTAGGATGTATCAGGCACTCTTCAGAGCACTTTGCAGGTAGGCCTAGTATTATCTTCATTTTACAGACTGGGAAACTGGGGCATAATGAGGCAAAACTGCCTGCCCAAGGACTATAGCAAAAAAGCTGGACCAGCTTGGCGCCTGTGGCTCAAGTGGCTAAGGCACCAGCCACATACACCTAAGGTGGCAGGTTCGAATCCAGCTCGGGCCTGCCAAACAACAACGATGGCTGCAAACCAAAAAATAGCCAGGCATTGTGGCAGGTGCCTATGGTCCCAGCTACTTGGGAGGCTGAGGCAGGAGACTTGCTTGAGCCCAGGAGTTGGAGGTTGCTGTGAGCTGTGATGCCATAGCACTCCATCTACCCAGGGGGACAGCTTGAAGCTCTGTCTCAAAAAAAAAAAAAAAAGCAGGACCAAGTCTGAATACAAACCACATTGGCTCCAGGTTACTGGAGGCATAGCTGTCACTCACCTTTTCAGGTCATTAAAAAAGCAGGATTTAGTATATAAATGAAAGGGAACATTATGCAGCCATGAAGAGGAACAAAGTACAGATACACTGTGGAGGAACTTTGAAGTAATACAGTAAATAAAAGAAAACTCCTCTATTATATGATTCCATTTATATGGAATTATCCAGAATAGGTAAATCTCCCAAGACAAAGCGGATTGGTGGTTGTCAGAGCCTGAGAGGAGAGGACATGGGAAGAAACGGCTTCATTGGGGTACAAGGTCTTTGGGGGGCAATGGAAATCTTTCGGAACTAGATCGAAGTGGTGGTTGTGCAAGACTATGAATGCATCAACAGCCACTGAATCGTCCACTTAAAATGGCTCATTTTATGATATGCGAGTTTCACCTCAATTTAAAAACCAGATGGGATTGAATGCTGGGTACTCACCCACTTTCACTGTTCCTGACTGAGGTTTTTCAATCAAGAGGGTGGACAGCTGAGAATTGTTCTGCTTGTCCTGTTCGTCCCCAGCAGGTGACTCCCCAAGAGACCATTCTGATGAGCAGAGAGGAAGGAAAGATCATTCCGGGTCCAGGTGCTTTTTAGGAGGACTTACCTGGGTTTGTCACGCTCATCAACCCTGAAGCTTTTCTCTGTCTCATAAACCTAGATAAATGGAACGTCAATCTTTCCACCCCCCGCAGCCATCAGTAGAGAGGGAGAGAGTCCCATTTTTACAGGGACGTCTCTTCTATGACGAGGCAAAGGAACGTTTGCTAATTCCTAGAAATCGTAGCTCTTTTCAGGTACGTTGTTACTCTCTCTTTGCTGGCATCCACGGTTCCTTTGACTCCCCATCCTGCCCAACAGAGCAACAGTGGGAGTAAGCAGAGGACAGCAGGACTCTCAGGCTTTTCCCAGGTGACTGATTCTAAGGTCCCATCTATACAACAGAATCGGGAAAGACTAAAGGAGAAGGTCATTGTGAGAGGAACTCTCTGACGAGGTTCCAACAGCCAAGCCTGGCCTGCTCTTTCTAGATTCCTTCGTGTTGTCTGATGAGACAGTTCTATTAGCTGGTTTATAGTTTGACAAGAAAGTTACAGATTGTGACTGGTAGGTACAGATTTCAAGAATTCTGGGAGTGTTCTGCAAGGGAAAAGACCCCAGGAAAAAAAATAGGAAAAAAAAGAAACAGAGGCTTTCCCATGAAGAGACATGCTAGAAATGAGGTTTGCTTTGCAATTTGTAGTTTGCACTGGGATGCTTGGTTAGTATTCATCTGCACTCAATTCCGATGAGGAAGACAGGAGAGACGCTCCTGTCTCTGAGCTGAATCCAAAGAAGTTCAGTTTTAGCCACTTAATAATCGGGGAAAAAAAGTTCATGGGTTGACAAATCTCTACTTGTTAACATTTCTTGAAAAGAGGGAAAGTACCACATTGTATATCGAGGCAGTACCCTGAACCCCATAAATGCATCAAGGTACAGAGTTATGATTTAATCAAAATAATTAATTAAAAAAAGAGGGAGAATGCATATTTAATTATTTTAGTTTTCACGTATCAATCATGCTAGGTCTTGCTATCCATAGGAGATGATCGTTTTCACAATGAAGTTAACCAACATAGTCACATGAGTACACATTTTTTCATACCCAGGTTATTGTTAAAATCGTATGTTGTGTGTGTCTGTTATATTGATAGCGAATAGTGGTCATTTGCATTTAGAGCGGGAGGACAAGTATTTTTATTGCTCTCTCCACTTCTGAACCATCGTGTCTACAGGCGTGGCGAGCCCATAGTAGGATTGAGTGGGGCCCTCAGTACAAATGTGTTGAATGAATGAATGAATGACCTCAAAGAATTGTAGCTAGAGTGGGCAGGATGCATTTGAAAATGTTTTATCAACCGCATGTAACATTCCATAAAGATGTGAATTGTTATATAACGTTAGCACATCTCAGGAATGGAGGCTGATCTCTGTGTAGTCCCTAAATGTTAAAAAACAATAGTGACAGTACAGCAACCCGACCAGTGGTTGATGTGGCTAGATTCTTGAATTTGTGTATCATGCAGAATTAATTGTTTCTCAATACATTAGTTTTCTTGTAAGAGGCAATGAAATGAAGGATTGCTAGAAAAACTACAGACTGAATGAAACAAACATTAGAATCACTACAACTTCAAGAAATGAGGTCATTAGTGATCGTATTAGGACGGGGACAGGACGGGAACAGGATGGGAACAGGATGCCTTGTCTGGGCATGTGCTCACCTGAATCTTTTCTTTCCAGGGCCCGACTACCCAAACCTGAAAGGAAAGCGTGACTTGGACGATCTGGGATGGGATGGGGCAAGGGGATGATGACTGCAACCTTCTTGAATTTTCCCAAACCCTGCCTTGTCTGTGATGGGGAGGAAAAAACTGCCAGTTGGCTTGGGCACAAAATCAGTAGCGCTCCCACTATGAAAGTCCCTATAAAAGTATATGTCTGATTTAAAAACAATAATAAAATTAAAAAATGTAAATTTAAAGAATGGGGAGGGGGAGAAGGGCTTATAGCTGGAGTAGAAGACTCCCCCTCTATGCCCCTAACATTTATACCTAAGATTTATTTATCTTATTTATTTTGCAAAGAAAACCTTTATAAGAGTTTCTCACGTGAAACAAACAGACACAAATGTCATTAAAGCCAACGTTTTCCCTGGGGTAGGGGCACAGGAGAAACCTGCGCTCCAGCATCGTGCACTGAATGGACAAGGGGCCCCTGCCTTTCCTTTTCCTTCACTGTCAATGAAAATGGATTACAACGTGGGGGCAGGGGCAGAAGGTATCCTAACCTGGAGGCAAGGCGCTAGGCGGGGAGACTTCCTCTTCATCTGAAACAAGAAATAGGAGGAAAGAGTCAAGGAGAAAAGGACTTCATCCCGAGGACCCTGGGAAAGGAGAAATCTGAAAAAGAAGAGGAGAGAACTACACAAAGCACGTCTGACTTCTGAAAAGGCTTAGAAGATTCCGTACCTGAAAGGTTAAACTTGGGCACGTCGAGCAAAAAAGGAACAATAAATAAATAAATAATAGGGGGAGAAAAGAGGGTAATCCAAATGAAAATGCCGATGAAACCAACGGAACTCTATCCAGGGGTTCTATGCGATTGTGGGTTAGGAGAAGACGATGCCAAAAATCGAACCTTGATGAAATCAGCAGAAGAGGTGATTTTCAAGTTCGCATTTTGTAGCCAGTGTCCATGACAGATGTTATTCATCTATCACACTTGTTTGGATAAAGCCGGTGTGAACTGTCTGAGAACTCATCTCTCCCCCTAAAACCTCACATTAATTCTCCTTCTGTATTCAAGAAATTAAAGTCAAGATGAATTAATATAAATCAATTTTTCTTACGAAGTTCACCAATAATTATTTTAGGAACATTAGGAACATTTTCCCCTTGATGATATTGGCCTTGGCAGATACTGTATCATTTCTTAATATTTACCTATGTAGAGTGTGAAAATCAGATGTGTCTTTTAGTGGCTATGTGCAGAGTATCTCTTTTAAAAAAATATCTGCATTGCAGAGTTTAGATTTTAGATGCCTAGAGAGGCATTTGGTGTTATCTGAATCTCTGCTCCTTCCCAAAGTCTGAAAACTAGTGTTTGTATACATAATAATAATCTTCATCCTTAAAATACTAGAAGGATTGTGGATTTCAAAATATAAATACATATCATTATATAAAATAGGATACAAAAAATACATGCAAAAGAATGGTAATTAGATGTGCCTTAAAAAAAATCCTGACAAGGCTTGGCACATGTGGCTCAAGTGGCTAAGGTGCCAGCCACATACACCTAAGGTGGCAGGTTCGAATCCAGCCCTAGCCCGCCAAACAATGATGGTTGCAACCAAAAACTAGCCAGGCATGTGGCGGACGCCTGTGGTCCCAGCTACTTGGGAGGTGGAGGCAGGAGACTGGCTTGAGCCCAGGAGTTGGAGGTTGCTGTGAGCTGTGATGCCATGGGCACTCTACCCAGAGAATTTTTTTAAATTGACACATAATATTTGTACATAGTCATGGGGTACACGTAATATTTTTAAGCAGAAATTTGATTAGTAAATAGTTTAAAAATCCAGGATATGTTCAGACTGTTTGAGGGACATGCACAATTATTTTAGGCTATGAGGAAACAAACACATATAAGAACAGTTCTTCAGAGAACCATGAAATAGTCTTCCTCCACTGACCCAACATTATTTCCAAACAGCAAAACCTTCTCAATTGGCAATATTTGATTCATTGAACTTAAATTTTGAAACTTATGAAGTGTTAGAAAATACAATCTGCAGGAACAAAGTTTCTTGTTTCCCTTTTTGTTTTTCTTTTGAGACAGAGTCTCAAGCTACAGCCCTGGGTAGAGTGCTGTGGCGTCACAGCTCACAGCAACCTCCAACTCCTGGGCTTAAGCAATTCTCTTGCCTCAGCCTCCCAAGTAGCTGGGACTACAGGCACTTGCCACAACACCCGGCTCTTTTTCGGTTGTAGTTGTCCTTGTTGTTTGGCAGGCCCGGGCTGGATTTGAACCCACCAGCTCTGGTGTATGTGGCTGGTGCCTCAGCCACTTGAACTATAGGTGCTGACCCTATTTCCCTTTTTTAAAAAGTAGTTTTAGTCCTGGCATTCCTTTAGACTGGGAAATGTAGCTAAGATGTTGAGATTCTGATCTCAAGTTCTCGAAATGTTGCCTGGTTAAATCTGGTCGAATTGGATGTGACAGAAAAGCTTAGTTGTTCTTATTTAGCGAGGAAACCAGATTCTACTGCTAGGAGGGAAACGGAATATCCAGATCTTTTCAACTGTGTCTTACAACAACATATACATGGGAGACACAGCATCTTACAGAAAACATTTTCAAACCAAACCAAACCAAAAATACAGTATGTAAGTTATGTATTTTTTTCTCTCTAAAAGTGACCATGATGAAAACATCAAATAAACATCTCGTTTTGGCTCAATAGTATACAACGTGCATGAAGACCACAGACCCAGGGCTGTCTCACTTAGCTCCGTAGAAGGACGATTTACCAAAGCAGATTTTATTCGACTTTAAGTCATGGGAAAATAGCACGTGGAACACTGTAAAAGTGATTTTTTAAGCAACTAAGGTTCCCAGAGAAGAACTCCTGGAAAGTCGAGAGGGAACTCAGTCTCACATTACAAGCCTGGGATTTTAGTGGGGTACACATAAGTACTCAGGAATGCAAGCAAGAGCCCTCCTGCCAAATAAAAAGAATTCCAGAGATAGGAGAATGTGCGAATTCTTATAATTCTCCAAACTCTCTTGCCTGTAAAATAACTTCTACCTATGCCTGATTGTTACTTGTCTTTTAAAATTAAATTAAATTTTTATTTATTTTGGATTAACCTAAGGGTACCTATGATTAGGCGACATGGTATTTATAAGATATAGTCTCAGTTGTATTAAATTAATTTTTTAAGTAATATAAACAGGAGACAATTGTGGAGATTTTATAAGAAAGATCAAAAGCACGTAAAATCGAAGTATATGTGACTTGTAAATAAACTAGTTAAATGCTGATACAATGCCTTATTTGCTTTAGACAAATTCATGAGTTCCTCAAACAGAGTAATCAGTTATAGTAAATACTGGCGTATGTGACCAAAATCACAATAACAAAACATGGACGATAGTAACACCACTGACATTAATTCATCGTGTTTTGAGGCATTGGATGACCACATTTTCTTGATGAGGAGATACGTGCCTTTACACTTTTTTTTTTTTTTTTTGGAGTCAGTCTTGCTCTGTCACCTCAGATAGCGTGCAGTGGTGTCACCCTAGGTCACAGCAACCTCAAACCCCTGGGCTCAAGTGATCCGCCTGCCTCAGCCTCCTCAGTAGCTGGGATTACAGGTGCCTGACACAATGCCCGGCTAGTTTTTTAACTTTTGCTCAGGCTGGTCTTGAACTCCTGAACCCAGGAGCCCCACTTGGCCTCCCCCAGTGCTAGGATTACAGGCGTCAGGCACCTTGCCCAGCTACCTTCTCACTTTTTTGATGCTTCTGAAATCAGGATTCACTTACAATAGATATATTTAATGAATTTTTTCTTCCCCAAATCTATTAAATCAGTCTTACATCTTAGAATGGCTGGATCTTAAAATTAAAAAGTATAGTGATATTAATTTTATATAGTTCATTACAAAGAAGTAACAGAATTAGAATCCATAGATAAAGCATGAAGACTTTTTTTTCTTTCAGTTTTTTTGGCCAGGGCTGGGTTTGAACCCACCACCTCTGGTATATGGGGCCGGCGCCCTACCCCTTGGAGCCACAGGCACCACCCCAGCATGAAGACATTTTAGTAGATGGTTGGTTGTCTGACACCTAAAGGTAAATTGCAGAAAAATGTTTTAGCATATTAGTAAAAGCACCAGGGTTAGTGCAGATAAAAAGGAACCTACATGAAAAAAGAATTTTGAGTCATACTTCTAATTGAAGAAAAAAATCATATCACTTAGGAGAAAAATAGGTTGCAACTTCTGCTGATCCATTTCCTCATCTGCCAACCACATTCGTGTCAAAAGGGAGACACATCTCAGGTTGTGTGCGGAGTTAGTCTATGTAAGGGTCATTCGTGACAGTTTATGTGATAATGTCAATGCCTGGGAAAAGAAAATAAGTTTATATTTCCCTTGTCGCAATCACCAAAGGCAGTTATTTTTCTGGAAGGAAAATAAAAAGAGATAGTAACTGTCCTAACTGACTTAGCGAAACACGTACGAACTCCATGCTAATAAGATGTAAAAATAAAATATCAGAATTTAGGTATTGAAATGAGCACTTCTTCAAAGCGGTCTCTGATTCTAAAGCTGCCAGCACATTTGGGACCAGCCACAGAATCAATTTTGGAACATCCCTCGGGAGACAGAAGAAATCTGCTCTCCCTACCCTATGTTCGCGCCTAGGATGTTGGATGTTAGCTGACAAAAAGGAAGATATGATCCCACTTGATCATCTGTGTTATTCCCTACACTCGGCCCTCTGTGATTCGTGTCTGCTTCCAGGGCTGAAATCCATCTTCCTCTGCTGATGGTTGTTCTTCCTCCTCAAGCATAAGTTGGCTCCAGGAGAGCAGGACCCAGTGCTCTGACCTGTGCCTGGCACGTGGTGGGCACTCAGGAAATACTGACCGAATAAATGGATGCCACAGGAAAAGGCAGGTCTTTGGCCCCCACTGAGGACACGGAAGGGATTCTCTACTTGGCCTCCCATTGATCTGCCACCTGTAACATTCTGGAAGAGTTTCTGAGGGCATTGTCTTCCAGTATAATCACTTTGAAAGGGATCTGCCATCTAATTTCTGGTATTGCTGTTTGCTTAAACACATTTCTTTATTGTCATCTCTATTACAAAGTGGTCGGCATTAGGGGACAGGGTGGCTGGAGGGCCAACATGTCCAGAGGCAAGCGAGTAATAATAGAACTCCCTTCCCGGGGAATCAGCTGCTTCCCACACAGAGACTCTCAGGAAATCTGAAAAAGCTGGAAAATCTCACCACAACACTACTTACAAGATTGGTACTCGAACCAAACTACTCTCCATGGCTACAAAAAACATTTTTCAGAATGTTTCTGAGCTGTCGCCGAACGTTAAGTCAATCTGGGAAAGAGTTTAAGGCTGCATTGCTATGAATAATATTCCACATAGTGACAGTCTTGGATCTATTAACTGAATATATATCAACTAATTAGAGGACTAAAATGTTGAAAATGTACTAATATCCAGGCATGACCATTTTCAATAGCCCTCGGCGAGTTGGTCTTAGGGTGGAAATCCTCCACCTGCCTCATACCAGTTCCCCAATCTGAACCCACATTGACTAAGAATGTGCATAAGACGTTCACCCTCCTTCCCAGCAAACAAGTTCGATGGAAATAAAAATCTATCCAGATCACTACTATATGGTCAGCAGCTAAGCCAACATGAATGTCCAACTGTTCATTCATTCTATGAGTATTTATTAGAAAATTGCTGTGTGTGGCTTTCTGCCAAAGGCTAGAGGGAATAAGAAGGGGGGACCAAAGAAGTGTTAAGACGTGATGCCATTGCTTCTCGGCCTTTTGGCTAAGATCAAGTAAAAACGTGGTGTCTTGCTTTCCCCCCAGTGCTGCCGGGCCTGCAGGTCTGTGTGGGTCTGCAGACAGGGGTCTCTATTCCACAGGATGGGCGTTGTTAAAGTTGTAAAGAGTAAGACCTACTTTAAGAGATACCCGAGTGAAATTTAGAAGAATATGAGAGGGAAAACTGATTACTGTGCTCAGAAACGCTTGGTGATACAGGATCGATAAGTACAACACACCCAAAGACGCAATAATAGTTCGTGTAACGAAGAGACACATTTGTCAGATTGCTTATGCCCATATAGGAAGAGATATGATAGTCTGTGCAGTGTGTGCACACGAACTACCAAAACACGGCGTGCAGGTGGGCCTGACAACTTAGGCCGCAGTGTATTGTACCTGCCTGCTGCTGGTCCACAGGCCTCTCAATAGGTTTGGCATGGACAAGATCTATGAAGGCCAAGTGGAGTGGCTGGAGATGAATACGATGTGGAAAACACTCATGGCCAGCCTGGTGCCCTTACATGCTATTTAGGTGCTGGCCTTGCCAGAACTACCACTGGCAATAAAGTTTTGGGGGGCGCTGAAGGGAGCTGAGGATAGAGGCTTGTCTATGCCCATGAGGGCACAGTACCAAATGAGTCCCTGGTTATGATTCTGAAAGCAAGGAATTGAATGCTGAATGTCGCGGATTATATGTGTTAGCTAATGGAAGAAGATGAAGATGCTTACAATATCCAGCAATTTGAGGTGAGATTTTTTTTCAGATGAAAACAATAAACTTACTGATTAAGCAACTTAAAAAAAAAGACATGGTGCCTGCCTGATGGTCACAAAGCTTAGAACCGGTTAGGGAGAGGAGTTAAGAGTTAAGCTTTAACAGGTGAGACAAAGCAATGGGTCTGACATTAGTAGTGTTTTTGTGACATTTGCAATTTTGCAGTTACCTGCCCGGGGTCCATAAATTGCCACATATAATAAATGTGTCTGTGTGTGTCTATGGCCTTCCATGCCGAGGAAGCAAATCAACTTAGGATAGAAAGTGGCATTTCTAAATAAAGAAGGTAAGTGGAGAAGAGAAATGAGGAGGAAGAAGAGAAGATAAAAGTGAGGTGGATGATGGGACGGTGCCTGTGGCTCAAGGAGTAGGGTGCTGGCCCCATATGCCAGAGGTGGTGGGTTCAAATCCAGCTCCAGCCAAAAACTGCAAAAAAAAAAAAAAAAAAAAAGAGAGAGAAAGCAAGAAAAGTGAGGCGGATGGTAGCTACCTCAAGGAGTGAAACCTGAGTTTTGATGGTTAAAAAGTAAGTTAGATGGACTGAGAATTTGAGGAGGGAGGGAGAGCAGGGAAGGACATTCTTACCTGGAGGGAGGAATCACACCTGTGAATCCTCTCTATGCCTGTAAAGGCTTCTTTCAACTGGAGATATACATGCAGCAATAAGTATTTCATCTACTTTTTGCTCAAATATTTTCTTTGAAATTTCTCTGTCCCTGAGGAAAGTGGGTAGTTGTTGAAAAGGACTAGATAATTTGAAGATAAATTCCATTCACTTACCTTCTTTATTTAGAAATGCCATTTTCTACCCTAAATTGATTTGCTTCCTCGGCATGGAAGGCCATAGACACACACACATATTATATGTGGCAATTTATGGACCTGGGCAGGTAACTGCAAAATTGCAAATGTCACAAAAATGTTACTAATTTCAGGATGCCCTAATCATCTGGCCTCGCGCTTTCATCATACTCCATAAAGAAAAGAGTTTTTGTTGGTTGGTTCATTGACTTTAACCTGTGGAAAGGGATTTTCTCACTTATTATGCAAATATAATATGGTGACTTTTGAGATTAAAGGTCAGACACAGGCTTTGTTTAAACTGGGACAGTTTTCCATCAGGGATTACATCATTTGCTGTGTTTGTCCAAGTACCTTTCCAAATTTGGAAACAGAGGTGTATGCCATTGGCCTTATAGAGAATAATGTTATAATAACTTCAGCCAGGATGCCCAAACCTCCTTGAACCCATCTCATGGAAGGAGTTCTAGGAGTTTGCACTGTCTGCATTCCATATGCAAGTAACCTCCAAACTGCCCATGTGGCCAGGATTAGTATTCCTGTTACTATCCACAGGAGCCACTGAAGGTCAAGGGCAAAGTGAGTGCTCTAACATTATGCGTTCATTCATGAGAGCCTAAGTTCAAGTTAGCTGAAGAAAAGTAATCCAGTGTACTGAAAAAAAGAAAAAGAAAAGTATTTTACTAATGCACAGGAGACAAGAATATCATGAAAATTAGGTAATGAAATATGACATACTAAGGACAAAGAGATACTCCACATGCTTTTGAGTGGTGTCCAGGAAAAAGAGAAACTTTCAGTTACAAGCAGGAAATAATGAATTATTCCAAAATTTGAACTATAGTAGAACCTCTGTGGGTTGGCCTCCAAGGAAATGTAGCCAACTGCTCAGCATGAGGAACGAGGCCTACCGTATGGATACATACACGTGGCACATGTCCCCTCTCTGGAAATTAGGTCAACTTAAGGAAGTGGTCAATGACAGAGGTGGTCAACTATGGAGGTTCCACTGTATGTTATTCATAACACAAGTAAAAGGTTAAGTCATTAAAATGATGAGCCAAGAAATACAAAGCAAAATGGTCAAATTCACCTTCCTGAACACTCTTGCCTGCAGAAGGCTAGTGCTTTTTAGTTTAAGACAGAGATGGTCAGTAGTAATGAGAAAGATGTCCTCCCTGTTAAGACCAAGGAATTAGTATTTCATGGAGAAATGGAAGCACATGATAAAGGTTATTCGTTTTCTAAAACTGGACAATCTCTATATTAAGTAAAAACAGACTAATATTGTAGGAATGAATGAGTTTCCAGTTCAGGAGGTTTACTGCCAGTCTATGTAAGTCACTCTATAAGTCGGCATGAATACACGGTGTTACAAAGTGAGATGCTAGGCTTCAAAACTACTATGGAACCTGCAGCAGTTCACACAATAGCAGGAAAACGTTTGTAAAAGTCTGGGTGATTCAGATAATTTTCCCAATGGGTGAAATCCCGTGAAGACCAAACACCTTGCTTCCTTAGCATGCACTTGGAAACCACCAATTCATTTGCTGGCATCCCAGCAAATGCTCGTGATACTTTTATCACTGTGGTTTTTCTCTTAGAAATGTGTGTGATGAAAACCTCACAAAGCAGGACTTGTCATTATGCCGCTCGCATCTGGCAGGTAAGATGCAAAGAACGCCAAACCACACGGGGGAGAGAAAATGCGGAGACATTCTATGGGGCCACCATGGAAATCATTACTGACCTCTTCCTGCTTCTACTTTTGTTGAAATTCAGCCTCCTTCTCCCTTCCTCCAACTCACCTTTTGCGGGTCCCTTTCCGGCCTCCTTCTCTTTATTTGGTTCTGTGTGGAAAGTACAAGTACATTTTTAAAGGTGTCTCGAAGCATTTCGTTGCGTGATGAACGATGGGGCGGAGGGAGGAAATAAATGACAACAGGACAGGTCATGAGTGATACTCATTGTGCTATACATGAGTCATGAACTTGGGGATTATATGTTATTTTATTATAATAAAAACACTCAATACAGATTTTGTAAAGATATGCTGGGATCATGCTATTTTAGATAACATGCTGTAACTATAGTCCAAAAAGTGGAAGGGAAGAGGAGAGAGAGGGGTGCGGAGAGGGAATGTGGGAGAAGGGAGAGTATTTGGGGGGACCTCACCTAATGTGCATGATGCAGTGGTACATTTCAAAACTATTCAGCAATGAGTATAATTGTGATGGCTGCGTTACTTAGTTCAATGTAAACTTTTCACATTGTATATCGAAGCAGTACCCTAAACCCCACAAATGCATCCCTGTACAAAGTTATGATTTAATAAAAAACAATTATAAAAAAATAAAATATAGATAACATGCTGGACTAGAATTGAGTATAAAATGTGGGTCACTTTATTTTAATTAAAAAAAAATTTTTTTTTGAGACAGAGTCTCACTTTGTTGCCCTAGTAGAGTGCCATGTTGTCAGAGCTCAGGGGCTCAAGCAATCCTCTTACCTCAGCCTCTCAAGTAGCTGGGACAGGTGCCCACCACAATGCTCGGCTATTTTTAGAGACGGGGGTCTTACTCTTGCTCAGGCTGGAATCGAACTCCTGAGCTCAAGCAATCCACCTGCCTCGGCCTCCCAGAGTGATAGAATTATAGGCATGAGCCGCTGTGCCTGGGCCAGGTCACTTTATTTTACACCCCAACAAGAGAATGGCTTTTGAAAGAAGTTTGACCCATGCGGTGGTCCCAAAAGTTTGGACTTCTAGATATTATAGTAAGGTACAAAATATGTAAGTGTATGCATGTCGTTTCAAAGAAAATGTTTTGCTATACACGTGAATCTCTTGGATTGAGTTTAGTGGCAAAGAAAATGCAAAACAAAAGCAGTCACATCAGATTCCAACAGTCGAGACCATCTAGTTTGCCATTCTCTGTGTGCAGAATCATAATAGTTTAGAAACCTACAAATAGTATAGTATCTGACTTGTAGAATATGTAAGACAAGATTATTTCAAAAAAGAACTTTTTTTTTTGACTCGTGAATAGAGATTCAAACCTTGGTTAACTAAGAAGGACCATTTTAGAAGAGTTTAAGAGAAGAAACTTTAGCAGTAGGAGGTTAATATTATACGAGTATGAAATCGGGCCTAAAAAGGGAAACTTTATAGTGGCTCAGTCAGTAACTGCTCTGAAGAACAGAAAGGAAAGATTTGTGCCTGGGAGGTTCTCAATGTACCCAGTGCTGGTCAAAATAAATCTGACCGTGGAAGGAGAGACATACCAAGGAAAAAAGATCCTAAGAAGACGGTCACACATCTGTACTGGTTTCAAGATCTAAGCCAGTAGATCTGAGCATGCCCCTGTTTGAACTTATATGGCACTGAGCCTGTTTTCTCCTTTTTTTCCACCCATTGGAGACAGGCTCTGGCTCTGTGGTCCAGTCTGGAGTGCAGTGGTGTGATCATAGTTCACTGCGGCCTCAAACTCTTGGGTTCAAGTCACCCTCTGGCTTCAGCCTCCCAAAGCTCTGAGACTGCAAGCATGAACCAAGCCCCCTGCCCCCTGCCCGAGTCCTTCATTTTAACACATAGCAATACTCTTCCAAATTATTTAGTGTTTTGAGTGAATGAATCTAGTATTCTTGGTAGGACAAAAGAGGCTCCTGAACTGCACTCCTGAAAAATAATCGCCAGGTGGAAGAGTTTTATGATTCCCTTATAAATTTCCAAGTGAAAAGATGATCCGAGACAGAGGCCTTATTCAACTGCTGCTGTCACCTAAGCCAGACCAGTCTGCAGTGACCTTCCACTCCCTGGTTTCTTCCCAGGCTGTCAATTCAAGTAACCCGCATTTCATCACATACTGCGATGGGAGGTTTCTTATAGTATTGCCTAATGTTTTAATGTGGTGGTTGGGTTTAATTTAATTTAATTGCCTTCTAGGCTGTATTTCATTTTCTACTTGGCTGCAAACAGAGTACAGGGAAATGTTTTCTATTTTGAGTTCCTCCATTCCAACAAGTACAATATGTTTCCATCTTGCTATCGGTAAATATGTGTCTTCTGAAGGGCTAGAGCAGAGTTGTACTTGCAGTAAATACCCAGGGAGTAATTCTTCAATGGATACCAGTTTCTCAGCCTCTTTAAGGAGGAAGAGTTACGAGAAAGGGCGCTTTGGGGTCTTCATGAGAAAGTGCGCAGGATTTTGACTGCTTCCATCTTGGGGGCTTTGGAGGGAGTGGAATCCAGGGGGTCATGGTGGGAGTTTCACAGTCCCCCTTGGACTTGCTATTCTTTCGATCCTGTCCTCTTCCTTAGGTCTACAGGCTTCACGTATCACATGTCACTGCAGGCTGTGTCTACCTGTCGTGTATTTCACTAGATCTCTTTATTCATTTATTTTTAATTGCCAGTTGGTGGGCAACGTGGTACTAAGAACCTAAGAATCTGGTCCTGATGTTAACCTCAGAGGCCACCAAACCTTTCTGGAAACTCACTGGGCAGTTTCTACAAGTGCTCAATAGTGACATAGTTCAAGGTGGGAAGGGGCTGCTGGTCTTCCAGGGTGGAGGTGAGATCCACACCCCACTCTCACAAGGACCTTCTCTATATGGAAAAAAGCCCTGCAAATCCTTCGCCTCCCAGAAGCTCAGTCCTTGCCCTGTAAAACATGGGCATAGCAACAACTTTTGCCTAACTTGGAAGGTTTCGTAAGACTCCTTCCCGTAATGTATATGAAGTGCCATCAAAATTAAATTAACATGAGAGGCTTACATAAAAGCAATGTATTATTTTTATTCTCAGCTTATCACAAGATGTCACCATCCAGCTTCTCAGCAGTAGGGGTTAAGTTAGAGCTCACAGCATCAGGGGCAGCCCAATCATGCTGGGTGGTGGTTCTGTATTAGTAGCCCAAGCACGTGAGGCAGGGTTTCTACTCACCTTCCGGGGGTGGGGCGGGGGCTGGGGCTTGGACTTCATTTTCTAGAAATGGAAGGAGAAATGAAAGCGTGAGTGTCACTGATCACAGAGAAGACTGCTTTCCACAGCGGCAGGCTGCCCCCCCACAGGCAGCCATGGTACCTGTCCACCCGAGACACTGGCGCAGGGAAATGATTGTTCCGCAGCATCAAGAGACCCAGGACACACTGCTGTTTGTACGGGGTACCACAGAGATTTCCAGGAGGGGCATAGTGTAGTGATGGAAAGATAACAGTGAGATGGGTATCCGGGTGTTCTTGCCACTTAGCTGTCCCCTCAGGCAGCAGGTGGGGCATTTAATGGAGCCGAGCCTGTTTTGTCCTCTAGATAAATGGCCACGACATCCACTTTGTAGATAGGGCTGCCGTGAGGATGGAGTGAGACACAGGGTGGCGAGCACATCTCGTAGGGACTAAGGCGAAGTCGGGGCAGACAGGAGATCCCTTTTCCCCAGCAAGCTAAGATACTTCAGCACCTTCCTCATTGCCCTGCCCTCATGAGGACACTTCTAAATGACAGTGACATCACAGAGTCCTCTGACTTGGCAATGCTGCGTTAGATTATGAGACAGGCTGCTGTTCATTGGGAACAGAATTCACCCCTCTCGTGGTCCTTTCTGGATGTGCACATCCCTGGGGTCGATTTCCACACCTATCCTATGTTGGGTTTCCACTTATCCAACATTTCAAGACTCTGGTTTTGAGGTTTGACTTTGTCCAGTTATTACAAAGCAGTCTGATTACGAAGTCTGTTTTCTTAAACAAAAAAACTTTCTGTAAAATAATATGTATTTCAAAGTAGCTAAAAATGTACCTCTGACCAAAAAGCATAGAAATTCCCCCTTGTGGGAGCCCAGAACTGGGAATCAGGGACATGTGAGTGAACCAGCTACTTCATCTCCAGGGCAGGAAGAGGCAGTTAATGGAGGGGACCTCTTTTCAAATAGTTTTCAATTGATTACTAAATAAAATATAAAGACAGAAACATTTTTGTATGACAGGCACATTGTGGGATCCAAGGACTCTTTGTTGGTATCTGGGACTTTTCACATTTTTGTGACTCTTTCTTAGTAAGGAGGATGATGCCTCACAATAACCCGTGTGGCAAAATAGCTTCCTCTATGTGTGGGCTAAGTGCCCTAATTTATTCCAGGCAGGCTGGAATGAGCATGAAAAAATGAATGGGTCACAGCAGTCAAGAAAAGAGTGATTCATTCAAGGGTTGGTGGGCACTTGGGTTGTGTCCACATCTTTGTGATTATGAATCGAGCTGCTATAAACATTCAAGTGCAAATGTCCTTGTGATAAAATAATTTGTTTATTCTGGGTAGACACCTAGTAATGCATTGTGGGATTCATAAACTGTGGTATACGGCTACCACGGAATACTATTCAGCCATGAAAAAGGATGGAGACTTTGCATCTTTTGCTTTTACCTGAATGGATTTGGAGAACATGCCCCTTAATAAAGTATAGCAAGAATGAAAAATCAAGCATCCCATGTCCTCAAGAATAATCTGAAACAGGTAGATGAACAACTGTAGGCCCCCATCAGAGAAAAACACAATTAAATTCAAGAATAGGGGAATAGAGAGGGGGATGGGGTTTAGTAAAATCCCACCTATCGGGCACAATGTAGGGGTATATGGCATACCTCCTGGGTGAAGGACTCAAATACAACTTGGACTTGACCTTACAAATGCAAACAGCGTAACCTAATTGTGTGTACCCTTGTATTCATGTGAAATTAAAAAAGAAAAAAAAAAAAAAGAAAAGTAGTGAAGTGTGATGCAGCCTGCCAGGATGCAACAGGGTCCTTTTTCATCACTGAATTTTTTGTGCCTGGTATAAATTCCAGTTTTTTAAAAAAATTATTGCCATTTGCATAGCCATAAATAAGTATATTACTATTTACTAATGAGGAAAATTTTTATATATAATCAAAGGAAAGAAAACATGTAACTTCACAGACTATTGGAAGAGAACACGACAGGATGTGACGTCCTTTGCAGCGTACCATGGAAGGGACACTGAAAACACAAGTGTTCCTTCCATGGCATTGTCAGAAATGCTTTTGTTTCTTTGTGGCATCATGGAAAAAATCATTAGCACCATTGTCAATCAGAAGACAAAATCTTTAGCCAAAGCATTTTATTTTCGGAGATCTGAGTGCAGAAATGATAACCCAATATTGACCTCTTGACTTTGAATGAACTATTGCATCACACGGGTATCAGAATACTGGGAGTGAGAAGCCAATTTCTTTGACATGCTACCTTTGGGACTGGGCCCACTGTTGTGCAAGGCCTGAGGACCTCTCCCTGGCTCTCTGAACAGTCAAGTTTCTCTGTCCTCCTGTCTCTGGGCCCCATAGCTACAGGAGTTATTTATCCCACGCCCGGGTTTCATCCTGTTATTCTACCTGAGTCCCTGTTAGCTGTCTGGTCAGGTCTACACTCCCCAGGTTAGCATCCAAAGCTATTGCCAGCGGGCACTCCATATCTCTCCCCTCTCTTATTACACCCCCGTGGTCCTTCTGTCCTAGAGGTGGTGTCTCTGTTCACCTGTGACCTTTCTGCCACTGAGAAGAGCGGTGTTCTACGCCCCAGCAGACCTCATGCTTTTTCTCTTCATGTGATGGAGTCACATAGACTTAGGTCTGAGTCCTGACTATGCCTATGTATAGTCTTGGGCAATTCATTAGTCTCTGACATCCTTGGTTTCCTCATCTGTGAAATAAGAATAACAAAATAATGACCTCTCAGGGTGCTAATCCTTTGTTAAATGCAGAGCACAGTTCCTGGCAGGTAGAGAGAGCTCTATATTTAACTGCAGTAACTGTTGCCATTGCTACACCTTGGCATCTTTAGCCCTCATTTCGACATTTTTCTCAAGGCACTCAGAGCTAATTATTCCATTTTGTTCTCCTGTCTTATTCTCCTGGCATTCTGGACCTATGATAATACACTCTTTATTCACTACAATTTAATTATTTTCTAATTAGTCTCAGTATCTTTATGTTTCTTTTTCTCCCCAACCACACAAAGACAGACAGCTTCCATTCCTTCCTATATCCCTGGTATCTTATTTTTATTGCTGAAAACACCTTAAGTGCATAGTGAATTGATACAAAAGAATTAAGAAGAGTTTCTTTGGTGACTGTGATGAACTATCAAACTGACCTTGCATTCTTCACATCTATTTAACTAAGGCCCATTTTGTAAGGGAAGCCAGGGTGGATTAAAATCCAAGTAAGGTCAAGGGTGAATTCTAATCAACTAAATAAAAGAGAAACATCTCGGGCACTGAAACTGTCGATACGCCCTGTAAATTCTCCATTTCCATTGTGTCTGTACCCCCCATCATCAGTGTCACAGGTCCAAAGTTAAACCAAAATGAGAATTGAAAGCGCTTAATTCAACTTCCACCCAATCCATAGAACATTGGTTATTAATAGCCAACTGTATTGGATAGCCGGAACTACACAACTATTATAGGCTATTCATGCTGAAACTTTCTTAGGATGGTTGTAGGAAGTGGAAATAGGAAAATGTATGCCCACAGGCTAAACCAGAATTTTTGCTTCTTAAAATCACAGAAACCACTTACTTTGTAGCCAGTGAAGGAATAAGTAACAACCACTTATTGGCACCCCCTGCTGGCAGGACTTAGTATACATGAATTCTTATGATCCTTACGACTTTATAGACTCAGTACTGCAATTCTGCCCCCTTCTACAGACATGAACTGAGGGCCCAGTGATGTTTTGCAGCTCGTAAAGGAGCCAGGCTCTGCCCCACCTGCAGACTCAGTGCTGGGGCTCTGCAACACGGGCCTGAGCTTCCCTTCTCTGAGGCTCACGTTCCCTGACTGTAGCAGAAGTGAAGTTACGGACTTCTCAGAGTAATTACTCCTTTTCCCCCACATAATGGATTGGTCTTATTGTCAAGGCATGGGAGTGGGGTGTGCCTCAATTTCCTCACCTGTGAAATGGAAATACAGTAGAATCTCCACAGTTGATCACTGCCCTGCATTGACCACCGCCTTCAGCTGATCTAATTTTCATAGACTGGGCATGCACCACATGTATGTGTCAGTACGGTAGGCCTCGTTCCTTATGTTGACCTCTTCTGTATGTTGACAAGTTTGTGACAGTCTGCTGGGCACTGCAATAGCATAGCCGATCTCAAGGGTCATCGGCAGCAACGAATGAGTCAACAGGGGCAGGAAACATGCTTTATTTCTTCATCATTATTAACATTACTATCCTCATTTTTATTCTGACATGTCTGTGTAAAGGACACTCACCTCTTTCCACACATGCCCCTGCTAAGGATTTGTCTTATTTCTAGGTCTGTGGGCTGCACCATGTTAGAACATGTTTGGAATTGGGGTAGGGAGCAAGAAAACATTTGGGGATGGGACCCCCGAGCAGGTGGGCCCCTCACACGCCTACTGTAAAATGGGAACAGTCATTGAGTTTGATGGAATGTGTATGCATTGTATTTTGTATAAGGTAGACGAGTAGATCAATCAGTCAATCATGGTGGGATAGAAAGCATGAGAGAAAATGAACCTCAGTCATTTTCAGAGCATTAAAACAAAGGATTCCAGCTGTCCTAACCCTGGAGAGATGGGAAACAAGAAGTGGTGAAGACCAACAGCACGTGATCTAGACGGTGAGCTCAGGGCCCCCAGGCATCCTCCATCACCTCCAAGGGACTGCTCGGGCCTCGCTCCCACTCTCACTCAGACCTTTGACTCTGACAGCTTCTGTCACGCCCAGCTTTGTCCACGCCTCTAAAAATCATTTTCATGTTCTTCAAATTCACTGGCTGCCTCTAGAAGAATCACTCATTACCATCAGCATCCGTACCACCTCACTGAACAGGGACCATAGGTAGAAGCATTCATGTAACTGGAGGACATGAAGTTCCCGTTATGAATTTAACAAGGGCAAGGGTGTTATGAAATAAGTGAGATAAGAACCCTATGTTTAAAAAA